AGAGAGAGAGAGAGAGATAGAGAGAGAGAGCACATAATTGTATCTAGGATTTCCCCCATAATGTGTATATAATATAGTGTCCAGTATTAGGATTTTCCATCTTATTAAGACTCAATTTGGACTGTCAATCTAAGGTAACCTGTGGTTGAAGGCTTTTAATCCTAGGCCTTCATTTCCTAAATCAACCATCATGATGAAGGAAAGGTTCTTAGAACCACTATCCTTTATTTTCCTTGACTCATTCTCTTTTAATTAAGGAAATTTCAGCAATATATTTTCTCTTACTAAACTTCTAAAAGGTATGGAACCACTTCCCAAAATTTCTCAAGCCTCCTTCTTTCCTCCCCCCTCAGTATCGCCTAACTAAATATTTCATATTACTTGGATTTTTCTTGTTCAGGAAGGGAAAAGGTGTTTCTAGAAAGGGTGGGGCTTGTGAGGCTAGGAAACCCTTGTGGGTCCCATTGCCACAAACCATGTGGGCCCCCCAACTTGTGGACGCCACATAATTTTAGAATTCCCAACTATTTTTAAGTTTATTTAGTATTTTTCAAATGTATTTTTAAATGCTGCAGAAACCCTTTTGGTTTTTGACAAAAATTCATTTGTGAAAATAAAATATGCAAAGAACTTTAAAAATTAATTTTATTTATCAATAAATTTTCTAAAATATGGATTTAACCAAAGCAATCCACTTTTGCTAGCTCCTGCAATCCGCTATGCATATTCTCAAACCAACCCAACAAAACCCATGACCTATAGTCTCATAGGGGTTCATGCTTAGTCCACCAAAACTAGCTAATAAATAGAGTGAACATGGTCCTAGTGTGTGGATTTCAATTTTTCCCCCAAGGACAAATCATATCCCACATGGACATGTACACATTATTACAATGGTGTAGGGGGGCTCTTTTCAACACATGTACACATCTCAACTCAATGGGTCGCTTCCCATAAACACGACTATCATGTACATAACATGCGGTGGTTTCTTGATGATTTGGCCCTTGCCCTTACAAGCCACCACTTGCATAGAGGAGGTCGATGTCCTCTTAGCTAAAACCACCCTGGGTATCTCTCTGACCTCAATAAGGGTTAACTTTGCAAACCCCTCCACGGTTGGCTAAAGAGTTTTGAGACTCCAATCTCGGGCCTAGACAGCCCAAACTTGGGTGAGTCAAACGGGCACTACTAAGCATGCCTCTCTGGTTTCTCCCAATCAAGTAAAGTATCACTACAATTATAGTTTTTTACATGCTCTCAAAACCTAGGCCACATACCCAAACAATTGGGAGCTTCCTTACATATGCATAGTGGAATGGGATTCCCAAAATACTGAACTTGAAATGTTAGTAGGAAAGAAAATTTGAAAAATTTAACACATTTTTGTCTCTCAACCCCATTACCTAAATCTGCATTGAGCATTCTGAAACATAGTTCCTTTGATTTTGTTATTCATATATCCAGATTACTACCAGTCGAATACTTTTACTCTTAAGCGAACCACTACATCTAAAGAAGCTACCATCATTGCAATCATCTTCTTCATGAAGCCTTTCTTCTATACCCTTATGAGATTTCTCACCAACCATTTTCCTCTCTAGAAGAATAAAGGAAGAGGGCCCAAATCTTAACTTAACAGTGAAGGGAGAAAAGGGGAAAGCCCTCTATATCCTTTTGAGAATTCTGACCACCCATTTCTCGCTCTAGGAGAAAAAAGGAAGAGGGCCCAAATCTATAAATTAACAGTGTAGACAGAGATGAATAACCTCACTTTTGCTGTTATCAAATATGAAAGGATAAAAATAACTCACAAAAATGGATGCTATAGGGTAATGATTTAGAGAGAAAAATAGGGAAAACAATGGATAATGATTTATGGATTTGGAGAGAGAGAGAGAGATAGTAGGGAAAATGGGAAATAGGATTTGGAAGTGGAGGAGAGGGAAGAATCATCTCGATACAATTAGTCTAGTAGAATGATTGTTGTTAAGTATCTCGATGCAAGTAAGAGAGATAAAACTGTATTTTTTTCAATGAGATGTTTAAGAGGAGGCTATAAGATTTGCTTGCTATGCTTCACTCTCTTGTTAGAAGGGGAGGTTTCTATTTTAAGGTGAGTGCTTGAAACTTTGGGTGAGACGGGAGGGGCTTATGTGCAAGATAAGAGAATCTGCAGCTGGGTACGTTAACTTAAAACCAAAAATATAGCAAGCAAAAAAAAAAAAAATATATATATATATTATTATTTATTATTATTTAGTTATAGTATATAGTATATATATAGTAGTAGTAGTATAGTATATAGTACGTAGTACGTACGAC